TTAGACCGCTTGTATCTCATTCTTATGCTTTATTGTGCGCTTTGCACCAGTATCCAATGGAAACCGGAAGGATACGACCGAAAACGGAAAACGGAGAAATCGTTCGTGTTAAAAACGCCGCGGAGAACGGCGCTGAACGATACAAACGGCGTACGCGAGAGAGCTCGGCCCGTACGACGCGGAATGGGAAGCTCCGGGCTTTCTCCATCTCTTTCTCTCTCCAGCAGGGTGAGTAGTTTTATGGATTTTTTTTTATCGCTGTGTATGTGTGCGTGTATGTGTGTATATGTGCTGGTGGACCGTAACAGCTGCAGCCGGTGGGATTCGGATATTCAATGTCGGCGTACCTGTATGGATATTAAATTAACACCCGTAAGCCGCGAGTATTAACAACTTTGCAAAAGATTATACGAGATTATGAGCTCAAGCGGAACACGTGATTTTTAATGCCGCGCCGCGTCCCCCGTCCTACTAGGAGCCTTCGCGAGCCTCCTTCATTTCTTTGTAATTTATAAATAGTTACGACTCATTGCCCACGTTTACCGCCAATTCGTTTCCGGTTAAATGCACGTTTTCCTGTTTCTTTTTTTTTTTTTTTTTTTTTTATCCGTTCGATTTTATTGGAGAGTCTGTCAGAGGCGAACGATATTCTCTTTTGCAATATCGACGATATCGCGAAAGTATATACTTGCACGAGTTTGTGCGCGGGTACTTTAGTATTTTTTAGAAAAACACTGACACTTATCATGACATTTTTTATTTCTTTCGTTCATTTAATTAAAAAAAAAAACAACTGTCCGTCGTTATTTTGTTATCTTTATCAGAAAAATAAATTTATGCTCATCAACTGATCTTTGAAATCTCGAAAACATTTTTTGTCGCAACAAACAGAACCGGCATAAAAAAAATGTTAAATATGCTAAATGATTAAGACTATATATAAAGCATTTTGCAATATTTAAACAATGAAATTTTTAAAGCCTCGGTAGCGTTTTGCAACAGAATTGTAGAACGCGCTTCGATGTTCCGTATCAAAAATACAATACTCGATAGAAGATTAACTGCCGCCGCTTTGAATCCTGATTCGCTTATAGAGCGCGCACAACTCGCGCCCGTTGCCATTTTTCATCTCGTTCAACGTGATATTAACTTGAAAACGACCACTCTCGGACATTACCGTAAAGCCGATCGGTATCTCCGTTTCGATCCGCTCTAAAGCTAAAGCTTTAGTCTCCAAAAGGGAGTCTCTTTCGCGGGATAAAAACTTATTACAGTGCGTAAACATTAAATTGAATTTGAGAATCATATATATATATATATTTGTAGAGTATTTCACGGTTGATATATAAATTTGTCAAACAGGTGCTTAATCATCACCTTTGAATCGCGCTTCGAATTTCATTTACATGTGCAACTTTAACGAAACAAAAGTATTAGGTCTACCGGTAAAGTTCTGTCCGTTTTTGGAATAAAACAAAATACAAAATTTTTCTTACCGTCAATAAACTTGATTAAATAATATAATTGCCATTATTATATATTAATGATTTCTTGCCAGCGTGAGGACAATTTGTATATCTTATTTTTAAAAAATTAAGAAAAATTTGTATTTTGTTTTATTCCAAAAACGGACAGAACTTTCCGGTAGACCTAATATAATATTTATGTATTAATTAATGAGATCTAAATATAAACACAACCTTACTTATTTTCAAATCTTTAATTTAGTTCTATCTCTCTTTGTGTCTTATAATTTTCTTTTATATACTTTTACTTTATAATATCAATCATTCGACGCGAATTTTGATAAAAAAAAAAAAAAAAAAAATTACGGCGTTCCTCTTTATCAAACAGATACATTTGATTTATCGACTAGAGTCTGCGCATAAAGCTGTTACCCGTATTGTAAATTAGTTCGCGGTTATCGCTCGTTATACAAAGATCATTAAAAGATCGCTCATTATACGAGCATTATCGTCGTGCTATATGTACTCGTTATACGATCATGTTGTGCGCGCGTAACTATACTATCTCGCGCGTACTATCATTCTATGAATCCTAAACGCTACCGTACATTCATTACAACCAAGCTGCCGTTGCCACACATACATACGTATATTTTCATTTCGCACGAGCTAGCCACAATTTTTCTCCGCCTGTTTGGTGTTTCATTCCGAAAAAAACCCCAAGACACTCGGTTCGTGTATCGCGCTTTTTTACATTCGCCATAACTTACGAGCTGTGGCAAACACACAGCGGAGGCGACCGACCAACCGAGAGAGAGAGAGAGAGAGCCCAGACACAGAGAGCCAACAGCTGCTACAAGTTCGACGCTAAACCCGTGCAACCATGCATAGGACACGTCGCGATGCAAATCGGCCCGGTGAGATACGGCGGCAGGGGTGGACGAGAGAGAGACGCGTCCGCGAGTGTGCAGCCGAGTGTATGCATCGGAATGCAGTCGAGCGTTGCGCAGCGCGGCCAAAGGTAATAATTGATATATAGCGATAGCATTGGCCGCTGACAGCCGCTAACCCGGCCGAATACGGATGACACTCGGTAATCCTCACTCTCATACCGGTTAGTGTCCCACCTATATTCCGCGGCGTCCCATTTCCCATTCCCATGGTGTGTAAGCTCGGTTTCTCTCTCTCTCTCTCTCTCTCTCTCTCTCTCTCTCTTTCTCTCTGCTTTCTATCTGTCCCGCTCTGTGCTATCTCTCGGTCCCTTTCGCGCTCGCGTAACCTGCCCCTCGCGCTCTTCGACCGGACCGAGGTGTACGTATATATTCTGGATGTGTGTCGGCCGCGCCGTAATCAGGGATTCAGGGGCGGGGGGGGTGGATGATTGCACGGGGGGAGAAAGAGATAGACTCGGTGGGAATTGAACGGAGAACGAAAAGAGAGCAAGAGAGAGAGAGAGAGAGAGAGAGGCCTAGGAAGAAGAGAGAGAGAGAGAGAGAGAGAGAGGGAAGCATTGCCAGACAGGAGGCTGGAGGACGACGACTCTCGTGCACCAGCCAGAGCGCCGCCACGAGGTGTGCGGTGCAACCATACTAATCCGCCGATGGATTTATGGTCTTAATCACCGGCGGATTATCTCGGACAGCCGCGCTCTGCTGCCACCGACCGAAACATACGCCTGCCTCTTTGCAGATAACTGTATACCCGGTTTCGCGCGCTCAACCTCTCTCTCTCTCTCTCTCTTGCCGTCTTTCTCTCTCTCTCTCTCTTTTTCCATTCTGTTTCTATCTGTCTGTGTTTCCTCTTCGGCGTTTCTCTATTTCTCTCTCTCGCTCTCGTTTTCTCCTTCCTCCGTTCCAATGTGACGTTTTACTCGGATCTTTTACTCGGCACCAGGGATTTCTAATGACGTTACGCTGAGAAAATGAGTCCGCGTGCCGTGAGCGAACAACAATAAATTGTCGACACACATAGTTTAGTTTCAATGAGATTGTTTTTCCGGATTTATTACGCGAATATAGAGAGAGCGCAAATTGACGAACTTAAAGATTTTTAATCTTTTTCATTCCAAAACATCGAGATTCCGTTTTTTTATTTGCGAAAGATAGATAATTACCATCAAGCGGAGAAACTTAAGCACAAGCCTCTCTCTGAGGTAGAGGCTCTATCATTTTCCATTATCGCGATCTAAAGGCGACGAGAGTTAAACTCCGAGCTAACGAAGATCGCGCGGATGGGAAAAGATGTCTCTTCGCACTTGAAGTGCGAGAGCGAAGGGAGGTTTAAAATGAAGAATGATGCCTCCCCATAACAGCATTACAGCTTGCGAACGAGCGCGGCGCCGCGGTGAGCTGCAGCGTCGCGACGGTCGGGGATCTGCAGCGTTTTGGTACATGGCGTATAGCACCGTGGCGGGAACACCGTACCACGCTGTGTGTGGTTCTATAAATCCACCGGGGCTTACGGGCGCAAAGCCTCCCCTGCGGCCTGTGTGCGCGCGGGGCACTCTCTCTCTCTCTCACCTCTCTTTCCCCGTGTGCGCGACCTCCTATCTGCCTCTCCCTCTCTTCTTCCTTCCTTTTCCATCACCCCCGTATTCTGTATCCTCTTTCGCGGTGACTTGTCCACGCATACTTTGTCCACACTTTGCCATCTCGACCAAATGCCGAGACCGTGTAAACGTTCTCTTTGCGAGAAATGCGAGCGCGCGGAACTATTCGCGCTTCGAAGTCGGATCGCTCGGACCGCGCGCGCGCCGCTCGATCCACGTCGTTTGTTCACGAATCAAGACAAGAGAGGATTTATAAAGTGCTTTCGGATTTGCGAACTTTCTAACAGTCTACAGTCTTTCTGTAAACGCGAGCCGTTACCGAGTGTCGCGGCGTAGTGTCTTTTTGTTTTTTTTGTGACTTTAAAAATACGCTCGTAGAAATATCTTCGCGACTGTCGTATATAAAAACGTACAATTGAAATCAACGAAAAATGACCGTGTGTTTACGTGTGTGTGAGATACGAACTACATAATTCTCGAAAATAGTCGTGAATTTTTTTAATGCAATTCATATATTTCAATAAAGTCAATATTTTAATTTTAATAGAATCTTGTAATAAACTATATATATATATATATATTATTGAGAAGTAAAATTAATTACTGTTTAATAGTTAAACAAAAAAAAAAGTTTCATCCTGTGTCTCTATTTCGTTCGCTCATATAGGAATGTTATCTTTGCAATCGATACTTTGGCGCCTCAATGCGTCCATTGTAAAGCGCCTGAAACTGCTTTATTCATTGCGCGGTCTAAAATTTTTGGGCATCGCTCCAATGTTTCTGTTATACTTCTCGCCTTTCCGAAACGATTCCTTAAGAAAACAATCCTTGCTTCGAAATTGCTAATATCTCAGACACTTCACACCAGCGTTCTATATATATCATTTTGCAGAAACTTATCGAGTAATTGAAATATTTATGTGTGCACCAAATATAGTTATTCTAACAAGTAAATGTTTTTTTTAACTTTGTTGATAATATCTTACTCTGACTCGAGCTTCCGTGAGGTTTGTACAGCAAGCTATTTCTTCCCTGGTAGACATGTCCGGGTATCGGTTTCTCATAAACGTCATTTCCAAATTCTGGAGTTGATGCTGCGTAAAGTGTGTCCTCTGTCGCCTTTGACGTTTGTTCTTTTTACCATCCTTGTCGTCGGTATCGTTGACCCCGACCACTCCCCCGGGAGAAACGACACCACCGGCGGCACCCAATTCGTGTTTCACTTCTGGTGGTGTTCGTACACCTGCAAAGTGTTAAGGTATCATATCCTCGACAAAACCACCAAGTCTTTCGAATAAATTCGGTTATAAATGAAAAGTTTTTTAAAAGAACGAATATATCACGGAAATATAGTAATAACAAAAACGTAAATAAAAATTTTAATTTATGATTACATTATTGTAAGATATTTATTTTTTAATGTAAATTTATGTGTGAAACTGTCACAATAGTATATACATATATATATTTATATATATATATGTATTCATTAATTTTTATCTAATTGTTTTATTGAATATGGAAATAGAATTTATATACCGTCACTCCCTACGTATAATCCCATAACTCCAAAACGCAAATTTTAGAGGAGAGCAGTTTAAAAGTTTGAAGCTTCATATAGTTTCCCTAGTTAAGGGATCTTTTGGTTTTAAATTTTTACCATACTTATGAATATTTTTTTTTAATACTTGGTGACCACAAAGAACATGACTTTCTGAGTGTCACTATGCACAATAAACTGAAAATCCCATATGTGACACTTATGTAATTATACGTAGGGAGTGACGATATTTAATAGACATTTTTTAATTAAAATTGTTATATTACATATTTTTTGCGATAAAGATATAATAGATCTATCACGTGATATATATATATATATATATATATGAAGAACTATTCTTCCACTGTATTAAAACAAAGTAATATTTCGAAGGTTTGTTGTTAAGCATAAGACTCTAGGAGATATTTCAATTTGCGCGGATTTGGGACCGTGAGTATGAGCGCTCGAGCTAAGTGTCCCGAACAAACGTGCAAACAAACGGAAGCGACATTTTCCGCGTCTCTTCTGCTCGCCGCCATCCACCATTTCTGCGCATTCGTTCTAGAATACCGTGCAAACGCGGGAGACGATCGTGTTCGGCAAAATTTCCCTCTCTTTCGTAAATTTTGATTCGAACAAATACCCTTCAGGTCACAGTATCTAATGTTGAACTTCGAATTACATGTGTATGTGTGTAAAGGAGATTATTCGTGAATATCATATATTTTTCTTTTCGCAAAAGATAGAAAAATATGATGACAGCAATTAGAAAACATTTAAAGACTACAAGAGATGTTAAAATTGTTATAATTTTGATGCTATTAGTTAATTAGTTTTGTGAATTTTAATCTTAGAGAATTTTTTGACGCACGAAGAAATTACATTATCGTATTATTTTATTATTTTTATACAATCAAAACGTACCTTTTCGAATATCCGGCCTGTGAGTGGTGTTCGTGCGGTTTCTGGGCTGACCGGCGGAATATCCACCGGAGGGTGTCGTCGGGGTGGCTCCTGGTGTGCTGGGGTTGCTACCACCGGGGGTATGGGCGCCATGACCTCCGTCGAGTCTTGCAAGACCCCCGTTGGTTTCATCCCCGAAGTCACTCTGCGCCCAGACTGCAAAACACATCACACCCTCTTGCAACGTCGTCTAGGCACATGATAATCCTTATTTATTCCCGGCTGAGGTCGCGCTCATTAATTAGAATGTTTCTTTTCGCGTTCCGCCAAGTCATCCGCGCGCGATTTCGCGACATAATAAATGATACGCTGCCATTTCAGATTCAATAAAGACAAATGGATAAGATAACGATGATGCGACAAATATGCATTGAGTTATCAAATAAATTTTTTTTTGCTAATGTTACTGCGATCAATTGCAATTGCTCGCTATATCAAAATACTTAGAAAAAAAAATTGAAAAAGCGTCTGTAAAAATATTGTCGTTTTTATTTTGAACAAAATATAAAATTGGTTTTTTTATTTTTTTTTTTATTTATTTTTTTTTTTCATTGAACTTCAAATCACATCAATGCATGATAATAATTTTCTCAACAACCATACGTTAAAAAATTCTCGAATCGCGCTCATAGCAAAACAGCAATTCGCGAAATTATAGAGTATATAATTTCTCTTAATAACAGTACATAATTTAAGTGTGAGATGATTTAAATACGCGTATACCTTGTCTACCCTAAATAAAGTTGTTTTGTTGCGGAGAACCCGCCTTCAATCAACAACTTATTTATCGCCTACCGACAAAGTAGGCGTGAAGAAGAAAAAAAAAGCAAAGATGGATTTTCACACTTTGTCGTGTGTATGTGATTCTTATAAGCTTACGTGTGCGTGCGAAGCTACGCACAGTACGGGACTGAGAAGTTAATCGGCTCAGTCGTTTAGCTTCGCTCCGTTTAGTTATATTTGGTTTCCACGGAGGCGGCAAAGAGGAGGGACGTGGTTCACAATTAGTCGGCGCATAACTCGAGTTGATTTAGTGTCGCGGAGCCTACTATACGAAGACACGCGTGTGTCACTCTTCCTTGATATCGTCGAGTATGTATGAGATGCACACGTGTTTGAAGCCGACGTGTATGATGCGAGTAAAGAAGAGACTCTTTATACAATATTTTACACAGATAGTATGTTTCAGACACATGTTTAAACTGAAACTTTTCTAAATTATCTAAGTTTAGCTCTTTTTTTTTTTGGCAAACAGTTGAAGCAGCGTATAATTTAAAGCGACATAAAAATTATTCAAAGTAACATTTTTTCAAAGAACTTTTTAGGAAATCAATCCAACAAACAAAATACAATCAAGTTGATTTTAGATTTTAAATTGTTTATTTGTTAAATTAATTTAGTATACAAAACACACACAAAATTTTATCGATCTTAATCACTTTATTTATTTGTTTTTATACGTAATCATATATATCCTAAAAAATTTCCTACTTTTTCTTTGATTTGTTAATCATCGTTTATGTCTCACATCGCTTTGATAATTGATAAAAGTGTATTTGGAACGATAAGGAAAATGATGACGAAAGATCTCACGAAAACTTTCGACATCTATTTCGAGTAAAATTGACATCGTGGTAAATATCTCGGTCGTTGGGCATAATTTCATCAAGACGCGCGGTTTCAGCGCGCTCATTGCAAGTACAAAGATTTTTGTTTTTTGGCGAAGCAAGACCTTCTATGTGACGACGCACGAGATATTTTAGTACATACTTCGCGGCGTTAATAATTTACACGTTTCTCGAGTTATAGTTTACTTGTAGAGAGGAAGTTATCAAAATTATCGTTGATAGACACGCTCTCCCGAACAATTGTCGAGACATTCAAATTCAGATTTCTGAGGATAAGTGTCTTACGATAAGTATCGACATTTTTCCGTATTGTCAAAGTTGTCAGAGAAATTATTTGCGCCAACTGTTGTGCCAAATCTCCACAACTATATTGACATGACTTTTTATCATCAAAAATCGCGCGAGTAATGTCCCCCCGAAGAACCGGTAAATCTCTCCCGGGGGCATCGCTATATTTATAGCTCGGCTATAAATTCGCAGAAAGGTGTCCACGCGAAGGGGGGAACGTGGTGAAAATCGTGGTGCACCGTCGCGGAAAATTGATATTGACGAATATCGCGACTTCGCGTCGCGTAAATCAATCTCGCTTATGGCGGCCGTCGCGCGATCATTCTCTTCGCGCGTTCGTTAGATCCGCGCCGGTCGTGTATGTTTACACAATCATTACCGTTATATTTATCGCTTTGCCAGCGGGGATTGAATACAGGGTATAATTTCGGTGAGTCCGGATTTCGACAGTGCGCGCGCACACGCACGGAAATGATCTCTGTTTATTTATGACGATTAGTGTAAGCTACTCTAAATATATTTAAAGTGAAAGTGTCCTAAATCTACGACGGTCTATAACAGTCTCTTCATATGTAAATCAGAGCTTTTTTTTCAACACATTTTTTCTCTATACGCGTTAAGTTTTTTTTTTTTATTTTATTTTATTTCGCATTTGATCCGCGTTTGTTGACAAATATGCAATATAATACAAATGTTACATATAACATCGAAAGCTTGCGATTAAGATGTTTAATTTTACTCGAAATCATTCCACTTTCCGTATCATTTTGTCGGACATGTTCCTTTGCGGATCGTATAAATACGCGAGGCTGCGAGACACACGTCCACTCGGAATTCGTGATTAATTCACCGGCCGTTGAAATGCAAGATGAAACCGCGAACAACGATATTATGCAAGGCGCAAGTGCGGCGTGATCGTCAATCGAGACAAAAGTACAGCCTCGCCGGGCCATGCGCACTGTCACAGTATATCACATCGCGAATGTGATAACGTGAAATTCATCTCCGAAAGAAATTTCATTCATCCGAAGAATGATGATGATCAAGTCGTATGTAAATATGTAACGATCTTCTAATTTGCGGACCGCAAACAGATCGGTCCCTTAAATAGTCGCTCGGTCCGCACGAAAAAACATATGTATAAAGTCTCCCCTAGCATACCGCAAGATCATGTTCGGAAGAGCGGTCTGTTTGTTGAGGGCCCACCCTCTGAAACTCTCTATGTAGTTTTTGAGCAACAAGCAAATAAGCAAATACCAAAACTATTTCTCTGTTTATTAGCTGAAGTAAGAAATAATTATCGAAAAATAAATCGGAGAAATATAAGATAAGACAAACGCGTTAGATTAAAGTGTTGACACTCGAATATTGACTTTATTGATGTTAAAATATATATGACGAGTGTTCGAAACACACGTTTTCGTTCATTCTTTTTTAGACAATTTTTTTATAATCGTTTTGCACAAAAATATTTTTTTCTTTTTTAGTAAACTCCCGAGAGACGTGCGTTATTTCGTCTTTCTAATCGCGCAAAGATAATGTATACCGGGCGTAGAACCTCCCGCACACCGGTGCTTGTATATTATTTCAAGATTAGAGTTAATCACATAATCTACGTCGTGATCCGACTACCTCCACTCGACCTACTCACTCGAGAGTTAAATTTATAGACCACCAATTTCTCACGCTTCAATCTGTTGTCGGATGAACGCACGTACGTAAGATTTTGTATTATCCAACTTTTATACCTAACCTTTTCGAAAAAGCACGTGTCTTTTATATAATATAATTGCGTAATTCAATATTCGATGAATTCAATCTAAAAAAAAATGTGTACTCGCAGATGCGATACGTATTTCACTTTCTCACACACGCAAAAGACCGTCTGAATTTTGAGTAGAAACATTTTAATAATATATGATAATAATAAATATATGTGCGTGTTGGAACGTGGCGCGCAATGAGAGATTTTCCGGAATGTTTTGTCGGTGGATACACTTTCCTCGTGTCTAACGCGCACGTTCCCACGAGATCCCCTGCGGAGTTCTCGGAGGCTTAAGATGTCGTATCATTTGACGGCTGTGTGCTTGTCCGACGGCGGCCACCATGGATTCTCGTGGCGGAGTTAGAGCGCGGGTACGAAAGAGAGGATCCCCGAGAGAGAGGGCGGAATGTGGCCCCGACGATCTCCACCCCGTCCTGTCAAACACGTTCGACACCCCGATCCCCGTTCGCGCGCTCGAGCATTTTCGTTCCTTTAAGAGAGGAAAAGAGTGGAAGAGAGAAAGAAAGAAAGAAAGAGAGATCATATATTGATCCCTCGACCTGAAAACGTCGAAACAATATGAACCTTTCTCTCAGCTGAAGGCTGCTTTGAACGTCGAACGTCTGTCGATGATATTGCGCGAGTCTCTTATAGAGGTATTACGAATATTAATAAATTTTTATCAGAGAGATGTATTACATCACAAAATGTTCAGAACAGCAAGTTCTGAACTGAAATGAAGATTGTGTTTTCAAACATAAAGAAGGTCAAATATCCTCGAAACTGACAAGCTTATATAGAAAGGCATATGCCGGCGCCTCGGCAACCGGAGGCGCTTTCACACCGAACACCAAGTGTCGCGTTGCGTCGGAGGTTCGCACGTGTTTTTTACACAGAGTCCAAAATTCGGTCTCCTCCCCTCCCCCGTAAAAGTAACGAGAGAGAAACACGAGGGGAAAGTAACCATAACAGACGATCGAGCAGACGGGATAAAGAAAGGAAAGAATTAGAGGATGAGAGGAGAGAAGGAGGTATGATAACTAAACGACGCGCGCGAGACAGGTTGTAACTTACAAATTTATTACTTTTTCCTGCGCTTCGAGTTATTTTATGCCAAAGACAAACCGGGACCGTCCTGCGAGAATGAGGGGGGGAAAACGACGACGGGAACGAATATCTCAGCTGCCGCGTCGTGCGCGTTTTTACTCTCGCGGGATATATTAGTGGACCGCGCTAATCCGCACGGATTATTTTACGGAGCGGCTGTGCATGCGAGAGCGTCTTCGCCGTCTCGTCGTCGCTGCCGACGACGACGACGACGACGACGACGACGACGATGGCGACGACGACGACTACGACTACGACGACTACGACGACGACGACGACGACGGTGGTGACAACGATTACACTGTGAAGTCGCGCGCGCATCGTTTTCATCCCGTTCCATTTAGTCCCATCGACTCTCTTCGTCCCGA